CATGTTTCTATGTAAAACTGTATTATTCTAAATGTATAAAACAACAGCTCCCTTTCATGTGGTCAGCTTACTTTGTTGGCCTTTTAAAGGAGGTCCTAGGATCTAATTTGAAAAAAACCCTAAGAGCGTTGTAGGGTTATCAATCTACCAGATGAATCACTGTGCTCCATTGTTTTCCTTCTTGGCTTTGGGGAGCAAGGCTCCTTGTGTGTGTCTTCGGTGGGGGTATTTCTGAGTCAGTAGGACCACATGGATATTAACAGGTTTTGGCAGATTTTTTCTCTCTTTCTTTTTTTTTTTTTTTTTTGTGGGAATGTGTGTTGCTTATTATCAGCAAGATAATCACACGCTGTTAAAAGGAAAATACACAACTATTAAACCTCAGGTAGGTAGGTAGTGCATTCAGAGTATTAATTTATTATATATGCAAACACTTCTAATATTTCACCGCCACTCATCTAAGCGGCATCTCATGGACTCCCAAAAACATGTGGACATGTCAACTTAAGAGTATGATCAGCTTTGTAAGCTTCCTGACCCAGAAATACTCAGTGAAAACACTGACACAGATTTAAAGATCATAAAAAGTCCTAATTATATTTTGGTTTTGGAAAGTTTATTTATTATTTTTGTTTGTTTTGTAATTTTGTGAAAAGCTTAGATTATGCATCCAAAGTTATGTCAGACTATTACGAGGAAGTTCAAACCAGTGGGACCCACTCATGTTAAAGAGCTTCCTGCTGTGAAACTGAATTGTTATTTGCCAGTGCCACGGTGATAAACAGCCTGAGCCACATAACCCTCTGGCTAATGTCTTTGCTGCCTGACTCATGGCTGCAGTTAAAGTGAGGGCTCCAGCTAGAAACAGCTGTCTTTCTACAGCTAAGACCTAAACTGTTCACAGGGTTACAATATAGTCTAAGTCTGTGCCTAAAAAGGCTACTTAGTTGTCAAGATGTACATGTTGTGCTCTGTTCGAACCTTTTAAGAAACTTTTACTTGATTGTGAATAGTCAATCCTAAACATGTAATTATAAGTTCCACAAGTAGTGAGTGGTGAATTAGACAGCTTCCCTTCTTAAACACAGGGAAAAGAGTGTGGAGAGGGAAGGAAAATGCCAACTAAACGAGCAGTTAAGAAAGCTGAACAATTTGGGGGAGAAAAGTCAATGATTGGCCACGTTGAATTATGCAATGACATGATGAGCATTTTACTGCTAAGTAGTTACTGCAAGCCATTGTTAGCCATGCTTCATGTACACTATTTAATCAAAGATTTGTCCACAAAGTTAATACAGATAGATGATATAGATTATATTGTAAAAACACCAAGTATAATGTTGTAAATATCTACCTATTTCCACACAGTTGTGCTATGATATCACCAAAAAGGTGGCAGTAAGAATTTAAGCCTTTTTGTTACTCAATTGAAATTGGAGGCAAAATTAACACCTCGACTGAGTGACTTTGTTTCTTCTCAAATCATCCCTGAGTTAATACATGCTGACAACTGCAGCCCAGAAAAACCAAGCAGAAAAACCAAGCAAGAGCTCCAGTTTCAATATCAATGTCATTCAAAGTAATGCAATTTGAAACGATAACATAAAAGTACCTATGTATCTCCTACACACACACACACACACACACACACACACACACACACACACACACACACACAGAAACACCAAAACTTGAGTACATGTAAAAATGTAACACAGAACAGATTAAGGATGACCCTTTGTGCTTTAAGAAGGGGCGTAGCTGAACAAATGACGTTGCTAAAGGCATCAATTTTAACCTCATAAAGTAAACCCAGCTACTCATTAGTTACTGTAACATCTGTTGTGAGGGAGCGACGACCCTGTGCTAATGACAGAAGGACACTTCCATTAAATAACCAGCACTGACTGTCTGTCTGTCTGTCTGTCTGTCTGTCTGTCTGTCTGTCTGTCAGGGATGGATAGTCGTGCAAAACCATCAAAGCCAATTCTTCAGTCTTACTGTCAGCATCTGTTCAGATGCTAGACCTTCCGATACAAACTTTGAAGCAAATAAATCATCAACAAAAAAACACCAGGACACTTAGCTTTTATCTTAGTCTTTCCTATACAGTACCATTCTGACACTGTTGAAATTCTTGAAAACTTTATGGTATTATTTTTTAATATCTGTAATTTGATGTTGATCTACAGTCAACAGGTTGCATAAGCTAATAATTTAAGTGATTAGTGCTTATATATATATATATAATCTTTTGATTTTAATATGCAACTAAATCAAGAAATCTGAAGCACAGCTGTTTATTACCATATTTCTTTTTTTTTTTTTAAACCAAGCTGCTTTCTCCATATCTGGGATCAGTCTTTGCCTAAAGCGAAAGAGTTCAAGTATTTTGGTGTCTTGTTCATGAGTGACAGCGGATGTAGCAACAGACAGGTAGACAAACTAGAGTTTTGTCTGCGTTAACAAGAGTGACACTTAATGAATCTTGATTTTCCGACTGATGGCAGATCTTGGGGGGATTGGTCCAAAATCTGCAATCGGTGCACCACTAGCAACAGGTCATTTTGATCAACAACAAAACTAGTAACTTACCAAAAAAAAAAGAACTAACACAGTTTACTTCACAATTAAATAAACTACCAGCTTTCTTTGGCATCAAGCTATCAAAAGTCAGCCATTTAGATCTGTTCTCCTCTCAACCATTACTTTGGTCTTAGAAATGTTTCCTGCTTTTGCCATCCTGATAGAAACAATCTCAGTCTGGACTGCTTAGACACATGGTTCCAAGTTAGCTTCATACTACAAATTGCCATCAGGCCAGGGGTGTTCGCTGTGTGTGATCAAACTTAGCATGCACTGCACATAGTGGTACTACGTTGGACCTTGATTTGACAACAGCGCAAGGACCTAAAGCAGTCAGCATACTGTAAATTATAAAACCGAAAGGCATCATGAAGAATGTGGGCCTGTTTAGGCTTGAATCCCATCAGTGAAATTTCTAAAACATTATTTATGTGTGGTTTACAATGTGACAGATTTCCTTGCGCGAAGCGCACTCTAGGAGTGTCTGGGAAGGAAATGTCAATTGGGATTTACAAAACATGGTCTAAATGCAATCAAGATGGCATGTGGTTTGTTCAAGGGAGGAGACTTCATTGCGAAAATGTTAAATGAAAAGTGAACCACAAAACCCTATCTTTACGTCATCATGAGACAATAGCATAGAAACCTTTATAAGTGCAAAATATTATGGTTAATTTAAGTTTTACTTGGATATTATAGTGCAAAAAAAATGAATCTGAATCTGGGAGATATTGGACTGTATTGGAAATAACTGGATTAAATAAATAAGAATTGTAACTGTTAAGTATACAAAATGTTTAACAAAAAAAGAGTCAACAAAATTGTATTATTCCAATCAACTCACAAATACAGTTTTAAAAATCTACTTTACTCTTTGCTAAGAAGGATTAAATAAGTGATAGAGCAGCTACCAAAATGGTTCACAAAATGTTAAATGGAAACATAGATGACCAAACAAACAATAAACTCAGGGCTCAGGAACTGGCATACAAATGTATTCACATCCCTTGAACTATTTTCCAATTTGTCATACTAAACTACAAACTACAATATATTTTACTATGTAATGTATTTCAATATGAATGTGTAATTAAATTTCATTTTGATTGTGCAAAGGTGGATTTTTCATTATATAAAGAACATTACAGATAACCCTGCATCCTCTTTATGACATTTTTATGCAACCACAGGATGTCTTCAATCTGAGCATTATTCAGAACCCCTACTGCTACAGGAGATCCTTCCTGCCCGCAGACATGAAATCTACAAGAGCTAGATCGGATGTCTTTAAATAAACTTGTATGAGTTATAATGATATTCAATTCCTTTAGGATTAAAAAAAATATATTATTGAGTTTAATTGAACTGCATTGAATTTGTTGTTCTACAGGGACAGGGAAGATACTCAAAGATGATCAGACTATGGATAGTCAATTGGGACTATATAAAAGTCCCAATTGATATAAAAGTCCCAACTGACTTTTATATTTACCCTATCCTATCTGCCATGGATAGGATAGGGTAAACTTAGAATAAAATCAAGACAAAAAAAATTTCCAAAATTACAATACTGTTTGAATTAAAACAGATTTGAATGATAGAATGGCACAGCCAAAATCCAATTTATGTTTTGTGGAAATATATATATTTTTTAAAATACAAATTCACCAAACTTGGTGTAATTTCACCAAGTTTCACAATTCTGCAAGAGAATGGGCATATAATTCTACCTCTAAATGTCCAATGCTGATCAAAACATATACCAAATGCAGCTAAATGTGGCTCTCGGAGAGGCAACTTACAAAATTTTTGGGGATGGAGGGAGACATGTATCATTCTTCATTATGCTTCTTAATTAGGTTTTACATTTTTATTGGTTTATGACATAAAATCACAATGCAATACCACAAGTTCGTGGTAATGGCTTGATTATCACGAGCAGAGTCACAGAGTCCAAGGGGTACAAATACTTTAGCATGGTACTATATTTCTGTCATATTCTTCTAAAGGGAAAAAAAAGGTATTTATATTTGTAAACAAACAAACAAACAAAAACTCATAATGTAATAACAACTTCCTGGTTCTATTGTTGCTGTATTAAAGGATTTATCAGTTTACCACAGGACTTTAGTAGTATTTTATAGTGCAGGAAAAGCATTAACAGCGTGCATAGTTGACTGCTGCACACTATGCTTGCTTATATGTTTTCAAGATAATGTTCTCTTCGGACAGAAATACCTACTGTTTTAAAACTTACGGGTACAGGTTAATTGCTGCCACGTCCAAACGCTTAAGTTTTGAAAAAGAAAAACACTGGCTAATCATTGCACACTTACATTGACAGCTCGGCTTCTCCCTTCAAGTCGTTCTGCCATTTGCTCTTAGCCAATCACCAAACAGCGTAAGGTGTTACGCAGTTCGATACGTGTTTACGTAAGAGACGTCCTCACTAGTGATACTACGTAAATTCCAAAAGACAGGAAGTGTGATGTGGCTTTGATTGCTATCAAAATGGTAAGATTGTTTTCATTTTATTAGCAACATCTTAATTTATAGTGCAGTTATGTCTTTTAAAATCCAAGTCTGCTTTTGTTGTCCGTCAGTTGGAAGCTGCGTGGCATGCTGCTAGCAGACATGCAGTTTATGCTAACCCAACAAACTGAGTTGCTAAAATCGGCTAAAGATTTAGCAAACTCCGCTGTGGTGTTTTCGAAAATGGATACATTGCGAACGTAGCCGTATTATCACATGAGATAGCTTATGTGTCACCGTTTAAAGACCCGTACGTTGCTGTAAACGATGCAAACCATAATGTTTTTTGAAGGTGTGCCACGTAGCTGGACCACTTGCAGCATCTGGCTCTGTAGCGTGGCAGTTTATAATGACCGAACACACTTATTTAACTAGGTTCACTAGAGAGATTTGTTTTAACTGGATAAGCAGGGAGGCATGTTAATCTTTCTAACAGCCTTCTTTTACAAACTTCCAATTGATGTTTATATTAAAAGTTAGATTTTTTCATAAATATATATAGTAGGGTGGTAATAAGGCTGTAGCTGTCATAAACTATCATTTGGTAGACTAGCTAAGCATGTAATCATGAAAGTGGTTGAATTGTTGTTTTTGCTCGTTTTTCATTTTTTTTTTAGCATATAAAATAATCTACTAAGACTATTTTTTAACTTGTGAGAGAAGTCAGTATTTAGCACAGATGATGTCACAAACCGGAATATAAGAAATAATAAAGATTTTCTCGGCGTCTTTCCTAAACGTCCAGCCCATAGTAGCACATAAAAAACCTACTTTTTTCAGAAGTGATGAGGCCAGTAACAAAGTCATGAGTTGGAGTACAAACCACAGACCTCCTGGTAGTGACATATGTATTAAAGGTGATCGGATTTGTAAAACCTGAGCAATAACTAAATAACAACAAAGTGCACCATTCACATTTTTGAAAGCTTTAATAAACATGCGAGAAAAAAGTCAGACGTTTGATATTTGGTTATGAAATGTGATCATTTCATGGTTATGAAATGTGATCATTTTATAACCAAATGAAAAGAAATTAGATGTATTTCTCTATACGTCTTAACTGAGCAGAACTTTGTGTCAAATATGTATTTGTTTTTTTTATTTTACAGTCAGCCATTTTCAACTTCCAGTCACTGCTAACCGTGATTCTCCTGCTGATCTGTACCTGTGCCTACATCAGAGCGCTCGCTCCCAGCCTGTTGGACAAGAATAAAACCGGGTATGATCCGACAGATTAAAAAAAAAATCATCTGACATGTTTCAGATTCTCTGGTTGTAAAAGAAAAGAAAAAGAAATAATTTTCTGTTTTTCAGAATTATTGCCATTATTGATGGCAATAATTTCAAGCTGCATAATCAACACACTGTCAGGAAGAGTTGCCATTGGCTTGGGTCTATCATGCTTTGTCTTTACATCTTCTTGTATATGATCAAGGCCAATTATTGCTCATTTATCCAAGCGCTTATTCACTACAAAGTGATTGGTTTTAAACTACTAGTTCATTCTTATTCACATAATCATTTTTTGTAATGCACTGTGGCCATTGAAAGTTGTTTACACTTATTAAAAAGCCTCTCTCTTGTCTCTGGGGTCTGGAAGCATAAGAACACATTTTAATAATCATAAGCTCATTGTTGTTTCATGTGCAAACTCTGTGATTCACTTGTTTAATAAACCTGGCACAGTCCATATGTGGCCAAAGCTGAACTCATTCACTGACTCACACAGCACTGATGAAGGGAGAGGCATTTCTCTAGACAAACACATAACAGGAAGGGTGGCAGATGGAAGGATTTGTAATTTCTTGTGTGAATGGAATGAGGTATTTTGTGCTGCTCTTTGATGAATGGAGATGCTATAAATCTTTAAATATGATCATATGGCAATATTCTTTTTGTTTATATCCGTGTAATAGTAAAAGACTTTTTTCTAAAATGTGCTGTTCTGACTGTGCACTAGATATTTACTTATTAGTCAATAAATATTGGAAGACATCCTAATATCCACCATACTTTACTAGAATGGCAGCCTTCCTGGTTTTCTTTTTATTTTATTTTATTTTTTTTATTTTATGGAGTGAGGGTGACAAAGATTATCACAACTTCTGCTCTCAATATTTATTAAAGTTTATAAAGTACTAGATTTCAGGAAATGTTAATGATTGTTTTTTAAATGTTTTCTTTTATTTTGTGTTATAGACTCCTAGGAATTTTCTGGAAATGTGCCAGAATAGGTAAGCATGTTATTAATGCCTCTCATTAAATTAGAATATTATCATAGTTAATGTATTTTGGTCATCAGGTTGCGTCAAATGTTGCTGTATAATGAAATCAGCATCTCTACAAAGCTTGTCGGTAAAGAAAAACAAGAAGTCTTCTAAGATTATCTGGGAGACACCTTTCCTGATATTAGATCTTATGAAACGCTGGACCAACACTCCAAAACATGACTAATTGAAATTTTCACAGTGTACTTAAAGCGACTCTGTGCCTGTCTGTTTTTCATCCAGACTCTGGAAGCTCGTTTTCATCTGATAAGAGGAGTCTGGACCACTAGGCCATAGTCTTCTTTTCTGTACTCCTGCTGTTGTGTCTGAATCAGGGATGGTCTAACATTAGAAATATAAAAGTTGTGGCCATGTTCTGGATACTTCTGTATGCTGTGGCTTTGGAAGCACTTTCCTTTCATATGCATGTATGCAGCCCTCTATGAACAACCAGAATCATGTGGATGGAGTCAGCTGCTGTCTATTGGATACATGTCAAATAAGCAACCTTCACTGCACTAGTGTAGGCCGTTACATAAAATTTTTGTATTAAGTCTTTCTTGTTTTTTATTGGGTTTATGACATTGAAGTTGGGGGGCGGGGGGGGGGGGGGGGGAAAGTTTTTTCCCGGCCACTTTTTTAAAAAAAATAAAAAAAAAAAACT